AATTAATTAATTAATTAAAATTATTTATATGACATTAATATTAAAATAAATATTAATTTTTATATTTTTTTTACATAAATTAACTATAAAATGATGCATTTGTTTGGGCAGCTTCACAATCCAACACTGTTGAAGTCTTCAGCTGCTTCTACACCTGAAAATCCCGAGGTTGTTTCTTCGGAAAAAACACTCTGACACTCAAGTCAGCAATACTCAATATTATAGAGAGAAGTGCTCTCAAGGAGTAATTGCGGAGAGAGAGGCGTAGAGATTAATTACTTTCATCGGAGGTAGTTGGGGGTATTTATAGCACCTGGGGGTATTTATAGCCCCTTGATGTTAACATACATCTGCACGTGTGAGCACCCCATTGGCCCACGTGGCGCTAGTCACATGGGTATGCTTGTACTGATGCTCCTTCAGCTTGGGCTAATAGGTGGTAACCTAGGCCCATTATGTACAAGGCTGTTGGGCTTATTCCAACAGCATTTATAACAACTAACTCAAGTTAGAAGATAAATACAATTTAATTTTTTGTCACCATTAATTATTTTCTCTTGTGTTTTTTTTTTTTTCTTTTTGAAATAGCATCTAAATTCATGAGAAAAGAAAAAAAATGTATAAATAAGTTGAAATGTTTTCTTTTTTGGAAGCGAAAGTAAATTAATATATATTTAAGTAAATGAGGATTGAGGAAAGATAATCTCTACTAGCCAAAGGTCCAAGGCACTAGGCTGAGATCAAATAAGTTGAAAAAAAAAAAAAAATTTAACAGGGTTACGTTTTGGAGGAAGGGAAATGGAGAGGTCTCGGTTTTGAACCTAGTGAAAACTCTTACGTCTAGAGAGTTACCACTGTTCTATTATATAGTTTTTATTTTAAATGTTTTTTGGAAAGGAGCTTTTATTTATTTATTTATTTTTTTTTAACATGATTAGAATCAGATGAGGGAGTAAAAAGATACGAAAAAGAGAGTTTATAAGATTGAAAACTGTAATACATAGAGGTGATCTCAATAACACAACACAAGATTAATATCAGTTAATTGAAACAAAAGAATCGAAAGGAGTTCTTATATAAAATGTTGAATACAAAAAGGAGGGGGGTACCAATTCTAAGATAGGGCACCTACCTCTGGCCTCTAGCTTACATGGAGATCATCAAGCCAGGTGTAAGCGAGTTAGGCTTGACTTTAAAGACAAAAAATCAATCCAATTTTTCTCTTATACTTTTAGCTTGCACAAATGGCCAACGACAGCCATATTATTTTTAAAAATATGTAGATAAAAACTTGTATCAATCCGGCAATACTTAGTCATGTTTCTATGTGGATTGCGTATGCAACATTTTATATTTTAATGTGTAACAAACACAACTCAGATAATATTCCTTTTATTATGGTTTTATATTTTTGGTTAAAAGAGAAAAACTGAGTTGAGGTGCTAGTCAATTATTAGGATGGATAGAAGTAATTAGGAAACTTGACATTGTTTGCTAAACTACCATCGAATCCAATTCCAGTTGTCTAATTAGATATTTTTAATAGACAGATTCAATATAGAGTTCTAGAATATAACTCTTATTAAGCTTTTTTTTTTTTATAAGATAATATAAATATTCATGTTTTTTACTTGACTAATTTAAACTTGGTTTGAGAATACTAAATTATAATTGTAACAGTTGGTTTTTTAGTCTTTTTAACATTTTAAAAATATTTCCTAATTTAATCCTATCATTATTCATTTATTTGATTAATTATCCTATTATAAAAGAGTTTAACTTTATATTTTAGTTTTCTTTTAAGAGTAATATACATAAATACATTAATTGTTTTCAAATTAAAATTTTGAAAAAAAAAAGGTAAAAAGATAGTTATTTTAAGACATAAGGAATGTAAAATATATTTAATATTTATTTTGATTAATATTTTGTATTTTAAAATAATAAAAA